CTGTATTTAACATAATTAAAAACATGTTTTTCTCCAACCACCTGAATAAGACGCTATTTTGTGACAGTGTTCGGTACCTAAAATTGACGTTTTGCGGATTAATCGCTTTCACCATGGCAACTGTACAAAAAGTGGATACTTTTGGTCCTAGTACCAAAAAGAAATTGACCTTGAAAGTTGGCCAATTAAAAAATTACAATCACGGAGATATGTCACATTGACATCGTTTTACATTGCAGATTGTAAGATATTTCTATACTTACAAATCAAATATTTTTGCGTATTCAATGCAAATAATGATATTACCTATACGTATGTACATGTATTGAAAATGATTTACGCTCGCTATTTTTATTTAAACCATGTGTAACGTAATTTACATATTCCGTGAACGTAATTTTAATACATATACAACCCGCCGTCGCGTGTAACGCCATCTACTTCAGACCCATTGCACTATTATCTGTCATTTTGAATTCAAAATTGAAAAAGTTAATTGCAATTAATTTTAATTAAAAAACTGTATGGTAAGTTTTTTATTTCAATGCAAAATATAACAATATTTATTGTGTATACAATAAAATGACTCAAACTGATAGCGACATGGATTGCACTCCGCCAGAGATTATAGAAACGGCAGAACATGCTACCTCAAGATTTGCTCCCTACAAAGTCGCGAGAGGTAAGAAGTAAGAACGACTAGGTTATAAGTTAACCTAAAAACTAGAGTGGCATGACACGTGAGGACAAGAAAGCGGAAGTTCTTATACTAGTAGTGAAACTGTGACTGAATCTAAATTCGAATATAATTTGAAGTAAAGGGGGTTGGAGAAAAAATTTTATGTTTTATTCCTACAAAAAACGCGTTTTCGGGACTCGGAAGGTTGCTGGACTCCGCTAACGCGTCGTCCAGCAACTATCTTCCTCGTCCCGAAAACTGACATTTTTTGTACTAATGAAACAAATAACTATTTTTTAACAAACGAAATATGTTTTTTGTGGATTTTTTTGATTTTTGATTCACAGAAGGGCGACGTGGTCACATAGAGCCAGTTTTCGGTATTCGAATCGTACCACCCAACCATTTTCAAATGCCTTTTGATTCTTTAAAACCTTTGGGCACTCACACAGGATTAAAGAGGCTTAGAGACACGTAAGCTTTATGGGCTACTAAAAGTCTGTGCAGACCATTAAAAATTCATGGAAAGGAAACGATTCCCGGAGGCTCAAGTCTCAACAAGTTATCGAGAGGAGTCTTTTCTGCAGCGAAGGCTCTTACATATACTTGGGGCTCTTGAAACGCTTTCAATACTTTTGCACACTTTAAAGATACTTAAATACTATTAAAGACTTTCTAGAACATTATACCGTAAAAAACCCTAAAGGTTAATTAACGCGCATGCCTTTAAAACCCATATAACAACCTCCTTAGGCACTCTCTGAGGGGGTAGCAAATTGCGAGATTCTAAAATATCTTTCAATAATCTTAAATGCTCTTGAATTTTCCTAAGGAATGCTGAAGCTTCTAAATGTGATTGCTTGGAATTTTCGTGGCCTAGAAACCAATGCGTAAACGTAAATGTATAGTTTACGACTGACCAGGCGACTGACGAACTTACAGAGAAAATGTCGAAATTAATATTTGTAAAGCAATTTCGTCCAAAGCTTTGTTTGTCTGGATGTCTCACATTGAATTTTATTCATTTCATCCAAATAATCGCATTTCGATATCATCGATAATAATAATATCCCTTTATTTTTAAATCAAACGGCCTTCATAAATATAAAAGAGATTGAAATTAAATGTCCTGTCATGATATACGCAAACAACAGATTGCTAACCTTATGCGTTTCATAGGTAACATATTTAGGTAATCTAGGACTTTATTTAGGTAACAGCGCCCTCTATTGAGCAGCAATCTAAACATGTACCTTTTATGCATTAGATGCTGCTGCAAAATATTTATAGCGCTAAAGTTTGCATAATTCGATTTCTTTATTATTGTTATTATTACAGGGATATATGATAGGAGGCAATGCGACATCAATAGAGGGCGCTTTTAAGCATACCTATACCTACCTAAATGTGTTACCCTCGGTGTTACCCATGAAATGTATAAGGTTAGCGATCTGTTGTTTGTTTGTGCTCCTAATTTCGGGAAACTGTTCTTTGTACTTTCTTCAACTACAAAACCTATGGCGATGTAATTATCTGTTCATGATCTTGTTACATATTATTCTATACGACAATTATCATTGATGGGTTACCATCAAAACGAAGATTTTCATATCATTAAATTTAAAGTCTCCTAAAACTAGATACAGGAAATGTGAAATGTTTCACATAGGAGGGATATTTTTAACTATTACCATTTGGTTCCATGCGATCTGATTAACGAAAACACAACTTAAATGTATACTTCTATAACCCTCAGATTGCACTAAATTTGCATATCACATTGATTTACCCATCAAATTTGGGATAACAATTTTTAGAAGTTGTAGATTAGTATAATTTTAATTAAGGCCGCGCGAAGGATCATTCGTATTATCAGAGATAAAATGCCGTACATAAGAGCCGAGAAGCGTTACGAAAAAGTGTTTACGACCCTATAGAATTTTATGTGCACGAAGTGGTTGGTTCCGCTATATTCCTCCTTGATGAGAATTAGTTAATAACGAAAAACCATTTTCAGTTTCAAACGGCTTAGCCATTGTTAATTAATTGCAATTATGTCACATTCGTTTAATGGATGGCAACTGTTAATGTCCCCTATTAACCATAAAATTAAGCAATTGCGCCTTCCGTTCCAGCTCTAGTCTATTTTATTGCTTGCGTGTTTATATTTCAGCTTATGTTCGAGTTCACACACCAAAAAATTAGATAAGATTTATATACGGCGGGGTCTTGCGAACTTTTGTCGTAAAATCTGGGAAAAAATGAACCCACTAAGATCTCTATACCGTTTGAGTGAAATTTTAGAGTGTTTCTCACATTAGACGCGAAGGAAAATTTTTTCAATTTTTCTGAATTCTCAGCTTTTGTTGTAATTTTGATACAGCTTTATAAACGTAATTCGTCCCTTCTTTCAAAACGGCGAAAAAACATTTTGTTATTCTTTTGGTTGTATATGTAACTGACATTTAAATAAGTTTCGTATACACAGATTCAATTTTTTCCAATCGATCTCCAGAATATTTGTGGACTGTGGTTCTTTAATAACGGATTGAGATACCGACATATATTTGCACAAGAGGAAAACTTTAAGTAATGGACCAATCAAATCAACACATCAAAAACATCAACAGCTTGCGGCTAATTGTTTCTTATTATATAAAAAAAAAAGGTATGCAAAAATTTCAAGTATACGTGAAAATTGGAATTTATGGGAATATTACTGAGAATACTGAAGTATACCTACATACCTATTTTTCTTTTTATTACACAAACGGGTTACTCGTACAGCTCAACAAGTATAAATAAATATTTATGTGTAAATTTCCGGCGTGGTTTTCAATTAACGTTGAAATTTTCATTTGATTTTCTGTTGTTAAGATTTAGGTGCTTGATAGCTATCCTGTAATCTAACGAGCATCGCATTACATGTTAAAAAGGGAGATTCAATATCAGTGTGAAACTAACATTTAACGAACTATTTAAATGATTAAGTAGGCCTTTGAAGTAATATATTACGTTCAACATGGATTGTAGTTATGTAGGTATGCATTTACATCCGCTTTCAGAT